GTTTGTGGCTGTAATGTGACAAAATGTGGGAAAGTTCAAATACGAATACTTTTGCAAGCCACTGTAGATCTCCAGATTTATATTCTGTGGAAGCCTTATGGCCACAGTGGGGTGGCATTCCTGGTTTTGTTTTGTCTTAGTCCTTTTTTAAAATGATTTTTTGAGGGGGACGTTTAAGCCTTTGTTGAGACAGGACAGTGGAGAGAAGACAGGGGAAAGACATGTAGTAAATGGCCTCAGGGCACTACCTTTATAAAACAGGGGTCACCTCCTCAACCCAGTGAACTACACCCGCATCTTTTGTTGTCCTTTTTTTTTTTCTAGTGAGTGAGTTGTTGTAAATGAAGGCACAATAAATGACAAAAATGGTTTGAGAACACTGAGTCTGGCTGATTATGGATATTCAAGAAGTTTTGTCTCAGCAACATTTAATTTAAAGACTTAATGTAGGAAGATCTCAACAAGCCTGACAGCCTATGGGAACAACTGCTTGTCAGAATTAAAAATGCACTTCACTCATTCCCATATTTACATCAATGGTGGTGAAACTAAACCCAACTTTTAACTGAATGAACAGGAAGCAGCAAGCTTCCTACTAAATAAGACTTCCCCTCAGTGTCTGTCAAACGTAACTTGAATTAAATAAACTGAGAAATGTCAAACAAATGTACTTTAAACAGGGAAAAATATCTATAACCGTACCTGCTTATGGCCTGATGACTTCTTGTTGCTGACAGTTAAATCTTCTTCTATTGAGCCTGCCTCCTTTTCATTCTGTACAGAACAGACAGAAATCAACGGATGAACGTGGCTGTACAATCCTCAGATTATATCCCCCAAAGAGATAATCAAGAGCATCCTTACTTTGTTTGCATATCGAAATGGATTCAGCTTCGTCATTCCCCCAGCCAGTCTATTCTGAATATGAGGTAAAACAGAATTTTAAATGATGATGAAGATGAAGAAGAAGAAGAAGAAGAAGGAGAAGAAGAAGAAGAAGAAGACCCAAGCATTAACACAAACCTGAGTGGGCTGGTTATTTCCATGGTCCACTTTCTTCTCGTCATTGTTGTTAGAGCTTTTCTCCTGTGGATGATGCCAATTTTGATTGAGTTAATGTCACAATAACCCGCTCACTTCGATCTTCTTCTGCTATCCAATTTGCTGTGGCTTCTTTCCGCGTCAGCACCATGGGAAGCAGAACGTTTGGCTGCTCTGCTCCCAGGCTGTGGAACTCTCTACCCTCAGATGTAAGAAACATTGGTTCTTTCTCTCAGTTTAAATCTCAACTCAAAACCCATCTGTTCAAATCAGCATATTCACTGTGAACCCACTGTTTGTTAATTTTATCTTGTTCTTTTGTTTTTATTATTCTTCCTTTTGTCATCTCTATTATGTGTTTTATTCTATTGTTAAGTGTCCTTGGATGTCTTCAATAATCATTTTTAAAATGCTTTTGAGGCATTCGCTCTCTCCGTGCCTCATATATTTTAAGCGACCTCTCACTTGTTTATCACTGTAGAGCGTGCTCTTCATCATTTGACTGAAACCATTATGAGGTAAAACAAAAACAGCTACCGTTTAGAGTAAATCATCAAGCCAAACTGTTGTTTTTCTTTCTTCAAAAAAATTAAAACATATTCGTGCATCCTCTGATTAAGCACGGGGAAAGGTTAAAATAACGAGGTCAGTGTATATCATCAATCACTGTGAGGCAAAATCTCAGGGTTAAGGCTCCTTTAAAGACAGCTGAAATTCAGCTTGGTGAAACAACCAACCTCCTTGGTTTTGGGCTTCCCTGTGGCAGAACTGTTCTCCTGTGAGTCTCCTGAGTGGTCAGTCTTTTCCTTATCCTGGTAACATACAAAGTATGTATATCACAAACCAGAAAGCATAATCACATGTGCATCACACAGGCAGGTAGAGGACGTGAAATGACGTGATATTACTGAGAAAGGAAATAACCTGAGAGGAGGAGGTGAAGGGACTCCTCAAGACCTTTGCAACGCCACCCTGACAGAATTCAGAGCAGTTAAGGTTAGAAACTGATTGTATTTCCTGTATATTGTAACAGTAACCTTATCACTTACTTTTGAAGACTTCTCCACGGCACTGTCATTACCAGCAAGGAGTTCATCATCGACAGACAAATCATCCTTAACAAAAGGGTAATCAAACAAAAAGGTCAGTCAGACAAAAACAGCAGTGTTAACTCCAAAACAACCCAGTATCAAAATGATTCATTGTTAAAGTCATACAAGCAATGTCCTTACATTTGAGCCCTGCAACAAATCACCAAATCACTTTTGAAAATAAAACAAAAGCGATCAATCTTTTTTTTATGCCATGCTTTGTGTCTGGCATAAAAAAAAGAGCATTTGGGGGTCGACTATATATAGTCTTAAACATGACTGGAGTGACAATTAGTGACACTTGTGTCACCTTATTTACTTATGGTAGCTGACTTTTGTTTGGTTTTGGGGGGTTTTCAAACAGGGGAAAAAAACAACATACCTTTGTGTGGTTTTTGTCATTGCTGCCAGAGAGATCATCTGGTGCAGCAGAATCCTCCTGAAGGTCAGGAAAAAAGTTTAAAAACTTTATCAACTACAATACTCATAACAGTCCAGAAAATAAACTGTAACATTGTTATTAATCTCTTACCTGAGGGTGTGGGGATTTTTTAAACATACTGCTACTTGTCTCCTAAAGAAAAAAATCAAATCACATTAAAATTTGTGTTTGGCAAGGATTTGACGCTGCGCGCTACCTTAACAAGAATCACTCGGAAGCATCACGGCGCGGTATGGCTTACGGCCATACCACCCTGAGCACGCCCGATCTCGTCTGATCTCGGAAGCTAAGCAGGGTTGGGCTTGGTTAGTACTTGAATGGGAGACCGCCTGGGAATACCAGGTGCTGTGAGCTTTGGGGTGGCTTTAGCTCAGGAGGTGGAGTAGGTCATCTACTGATCGGAAGGTTGGTGGTTCGATCGCTAGCTCCTCCAGTCTGCATGTCAAGTATCCTTGGGCAAGATACTAACCCCAAGCTCCTCTCTGATGCATCCATCGGAGTGTAAATGTACTTAGAAAGCACTATGTATACAGAAAGTGCTTGTGAGAATTGTGTGATTGGGTGAATGTGGTACTCTGGGAGAGTAGAAAAGCACTATATAAGAATCAGTCCATTTACCATCACTATTTTTATTTCTAGCTGCTTATAGGATGAAAGCAAACTTTAAAACCAGTTGCTGCAGATGGAGGAAAAAAAACTCACCTTAGTGTTGCTGTTCACTGGCAGATTGTCATTGCTGCCTATGATCTTAACGGTTGTGGACAAATCCTCCTAACAAGAGAAACAAAACCTTTTGACCACTTAATATGTATTTCAACACAGGTGAAACTAAGAGGAGTGAGACCCATTTTGGAGTCCTTTTAAAAAGAATAATTAAAATTCTACTTGTCATCCACCTGACTCCTAAAAGTAACAAAAAGAGATGTGCAAAGATACATAAAGAGTATAAAAAACACATTTTTTTAAGTTTTAAATGAATAAAGTAGCAGTTCCTTTGTTTAAACTGGCACATCAGTCACATGGACAGGGAGGGTTCAGCGCCCCAAACATTTGCCAGCACTTTTTCCAGATAGCTGATGCAGGTTTTTCCCCCCTCGTACAAACACACACAACAAAAACCTGTCCACTCAGGCACATTGCTACTGTAGCTCAAAATCACCAACGTATTGTAAGTCACTAATAAAGCACATTTGGATTTTCTAGGGGATGATACTAGACAAATCACACATAAAGGTTTTAACAGATAACCATTTCATAAATCTCTGAAAAACATGCTCTTGCCCAGTATATTTATCTGTGCTTAAAGTGACATTTATCAGGTCCCTTTTTCCTTTGGTGTTTGAAGTTACCATTAAGATTCAATCAAATAAATTCATTCATTCAGTTTGGATACTTTTTTGTATTATGAAGTGGTAAATGCACTTTTAATAACAAGCGACAGAGCCGGTTAGTTAACTGGAGAAATAATCAGTAGAAGGAGGCATTGTCATTCACTATACTGTTATTTAAATTATAATATTACCATTTTTATTAAGATGTATTTCTTTGTTGCATTTTTTATGTTGTAGAGTTTTGATTGTATCTGTTGTAGAGATTTTGACTGATGCTTTTTGATGTTAGCATGGACCTCTCGTCAATGTAATGTAGTTTTGTTAATAAAGACATAAATGGGAACTTTAAAAGGGAATCTCAAATTGCTGTTTGCTGATCAGACCTACCTTTGCATTGGTGTCCTCAGACAGATTGTCATTACTGGCTGAGACGTCCTTTAGATCCTGAAGCACACAAGAATGCACAGTAAATAACAAATAACACAATAATATACAGTTTAGCCAGTTAGTCATTAGTAGCATTTCCTGCATGAAACTCCAGTGAGTGGAGGACATGTAATAAAAGATTGTGTTTAACCTGCGAAGACCTCTGCACATGTCTTGGTTTGGGAGATAGTTTCTGTAATCCACCCAGCACACCTGATTTATCCTGAAGAGAAATGTACAGAAAAGAATTTCAAAACATAACACTAGGTAGAAAATCCACAGAGATTACATGAATTTTGATAGTCGTTGTTCTCTGTGAAGTCCAACTAAAACCAAATCATTTATAGGTATTAAATATTTAACAGTCCAGCTTAATGATTGGCTAAAAGCAAATCCTAGCAGCAGCTATTTCAATGAACCACATTGCAATGTTTTTGTTTGTTTTTTTAACTCTGTTTCATTGTAGCTTTGAAGATTTTCCCCAGTTACAAGCATTTAGTGGAGTTTTGTAGTTATAGTTTATACATATATAAGATCTGCAGATAGTTAAATAGGGACAGGATTGAAAACTAGCAATTGCTATAAATTCTGCACATCATCATTTCTATGCTTATGTTAAAATACAAGCAAAATTTGAATTAAAAAAATATGTATATCACAGAAAGAGAGCAAATTTACCTTTGACTTGCTGGTTAAACTGTCATTGCTGGCAGACAGTTCAGGATTTTGTAATGTCAAGGCAGCCTGCAAAAACAAAAAAAGGTGGTTTTGGTTATATGAAACTAAGGAAATTAAAGCCACAAAGGCAGAAAACTTTTATTCCCGGTTATCTTATAAATATTTAAAAACATTACCAACAAAACAAAAAGAAACCTGAAGGAAAAGAGGAAACAAACAGGAAAATATTACTTTTATCAATGAATGTGGTACTGATTATCCAAACTTACTGTTAGGGCTTAATCATTTTTTTTTCTTCTGTATACAACCTTAAGAACTACTTTTGGTTTAGAGAAAATTCCTGTGGGATAATTTTCATTACATTACTTGTTTGGGACATTCATAACATAAAGTTTTGACTTGACAGGATTTGCATTTGTAGTATAATGTCATGTCTGATCCTCTTTGGCAGATTTTTAGGCATTCCTTTAAGCATTCCAGCATAATTACAACCACAAATATGAATAATAATAATAGATTTAATAAAATTACTCACTGAACTAATGAAAATATCCAATTAATGAATAATATGATTCATTAATTGGAGATACAAGTGTGTAATTATTTTTTTTAAAAAGTTGCTTTAAATGTAATTACAAATACATAAATTTGACTGTTTCAAGTTAATTAATTAAAATTAGTTACAGCTAATTGCTGCAATCTGTTGGAAGTCAGTCCTCGATCCAAGCTTTTGAAAAGACAACAAAATAAATAAACAAATAAGCATAATAAGGATAATTAAAGCCGCAACATTACCTGTGCAGATGGAAGCAGTTCTTTAGACTTGGAGGATTTTTTGAATATCCCACTGAATAATGAGGCTTTTTGCTGATTGAAAATTAAAAAAAGAGAGACATTAATTTACTGAAATCCATCTCAAAGAAACATTGCCATTAAAAGATGTAAATCTGCAGTATAAAAAGATGCCTCGCTGATTACAGTTCTGCTCTCAGGACTCAAAACTGAAAAGATTTTTAACTAATGCAGTTGTTACTAATGCACTTACACATTTAAGGGTCTCACTCCAATCTCATGTTTGAATTTAAAATCTGGAATTGAAGCTGATTTCATGTCTGGACTTGGAAAACATCATGAGTGATTTTTATATTTACAGCATGCGTACGTACAAGTTAAAAGTGGACCACAATGCTTCTGGCTTCTGACCACTTAAGTGAAGCAAAGTCTTCCTTTGGGCCTCACGGTAAATTTGCCGAGCAGCTCAGACATAATCAGATTGTTTAATATTTATATTACAGGTGACATGTCAGAGAAAAGTTATTCATTTTCTGTGTTTTGAACTACTTTGTTTAGTACAGAACTTCATACTGTCCAAGTTTTGCATTACACTAGTAGCACATAAACCATAAAAGTGTCAAAAATCAAATATACTATAAAAAAGGCTTTGATTTTGAAAGAAAAAAGTAATAATAAACAAAAGAATTAAAAAATTACTAACAGTTTTTGTTATAAGTTAAATTTATTTTAACTTAAAATCTTTATTAAGTAATTTGTATGTATCTATATCGAATATAATGGACACGCATGTGCTAGTACATTAAAGACTAGAATGTGAATGTACTACAACTATATCTCAACCAATCGTGGGAACATGCACAGTCACTGCCCCAACTTGGAGTTTTGAAAAACTCTGATAAGGAAAATGGGCATTATTTTACACAATAAAACACTAGAGTCCGAAAACAAATATAGTGCTTGATATGAGCCCAGTGGATCTACTCGAATGTTCTGGCTGAAGAAAACAGCAGGCCTGGAAATATTCTTCTGCGTCACAGGAAAAAAGAAAAAAACATGTTTGTTCATTATTGTGAATGTGCTCTTTGTAGATTAGTTGGGGCAAGGTCCTTCTGGGCAAGTCATGCCGTCTTGGTGACACATTCAGGCAGTTATTTATTCCAGAGGGAGGATATTATTCCAAGGTCAGCTGTTGTAAGAAACTGGCTTTATTGGGCATGACGCAGGATCATGTATCATACAAGTGCCACCTTTTGTGATAGTCACCATAGATTTGGACTGCTATTCTTTTAGTTAAACATCACTAGTTTAGTGAATGGTACATACTCACTGGGGTGATGTTAGAGGACATTTAAACCAACGTCTCATAATTGTAGGATCAGGGCAAAGAATTGATTTAGAACAGTATCACAATATCTTGCATGGAGATATGGTATTGATGCAGGGAGACCAAACGTCAATATTTTATTAAATATATTAAAATAGTACTCTGTGGATACTACGAACAAGAGGGCTCATTTTGGCTGACAGACAACTGGTTGTATTATGGTCATATTCCTATAGAACAGAAAGGTTCTGTGTACAAATGCGACAATTCATGTGAATTTCTGTTAAATGCAAATTTATGTCCACATAGCAAGATATGATTTTCAACAAATAGTTTATATCTAAATGATCAGAAACAGATTGTATGCAGTTGCCAACTTGACCCTGTTCAGTTGCAGACTGATAGCAGACTACTGCGTCTTGGTGTTGGTGTGCTTAACAATCTCTCATGTAAAAAAGTGAGAAAACTTTTGAATAAAAAAAAAATAAAAAATCATACGTCAGAGCTTTGAGCAACCTAAGCAGATTTTCTTTTACCTTTACTCACTATTTTTAATGAGTTTTATGAGTTTGTCCTAACAGACAAACCTTAAAAGTATGGAAGTTTAACAGTGAAAGGCAGAGTTAGCGAGGGATCCGGAGGGTTATTTTCGCCTTCGATCAACCCGAGTAAGTTACAGTCGCTTAAAAAATAAACCCTTAAAGTAACCTCGCAGGCGTTACTTTGCGATGTCTCTTTGCGATGAAGAGCCAACGTAAACTCTCCGCATACTTATGCGTCTGTTTGCGGTCGCACAGTTTGTGGTAAAAGTCAGTCAAGTGTTGAACATGCTTACCGGCTGACTTCAGGAAGAAACAAAACAAACGTCGACAAACTAAAGTTGTACTCACAGAGACAGCTCCTTCATGACACTCCAGGTCCAAATCAAGGTTACCGTACCGCTCCTGTAACAGACAGGAGGTTACATATTTACTGTATCAACGCTAGTTTTATAAAGGCGTTCACCATAGAGGGCGAGACGTGTAACGGCCACCGTACCATTAACGTACCATTACAGGGAACTGCTGTCTCCCTTACGGTGAACTTGTCCCGTTTGTTGTCAGAGGTTAACGGATATAAATATAAAAGTCCCGCTCCTCAGAAGGACTTTGTGTCCTCTGCTTGTTGATACTGTCGGCTGTTTTCACTCAGCGAGCTGCGCAGGTCAGGATCCTCCCTCCTTTGTAGGAAAAAAATTACAAAACAGAAGGAAAAAGAAACTGGCTGGGAGCCACTCATCTGGGAGCGGTCAACCCGATTCTGCTGCATTCGGGAGCAGTTCGGAAATTCCCCTTACAGCCTTAGGGTATAAAAATACAACTAGAAGGATATCAGCAGGTTAAGTACTTAAGTTAATGTCTCTCAAATAATTGTGAAAAATTGTCTGTGTACTAAAAATAAAAGCACCTATTATACTATCAACAGCTGTGGCAAGCACGCTTACTGTACATTTTAACCTTCTTCTTAATCAATATGTGACATTTAAAGCTACTTTAAACAATGTTTGGCGTTTTAGAATTTGTGTAAATTTACACAAAATATAGCTCATTAAATACCGTGCGTTTTTTTTCAAAATTAAAACTTAGATACATTTAGAGAAAATCCCTTCAAAAAGTATAGTCTGTGTTGAAAATCATTAATACCGACACCACTTTTGATCCCTCTATATACTGACTCTTTGAGAAGGTCAAAAGAAGTCACTGTACAAACATTAATTAAAAATATCCGGGGGTCTCTGCTAGAATTTCCATTAAAACGTGAGTAAATAAAATGT